AAAAAAAAAAGGCAAAAAAAAAAAAAAAAAAAAAAAAAAAAAAAAAAAAAAATATATATATATATATATATATATATATATATATATATATATATATATATATATATATATATATATAAAGTTAACTTTGAGGGTTACGAAAGGATTAACGCATGCTCAGTGTGAAGCTTTTGGCAGTCTTTTAGATTTCACTCCGAAAAGTGAACTATAAAATAACCAACACTGCAAAAGTGTGACATATTTAAAGGTTTATAGGTACAACAAATTGAAATTTTAACACCGAAGTAAACTGTTAAAGTTCGAAATTTAATTTAATTTGATTATTTTTGATTACATCGAATTCTGTCGTCTGTCACACATGGTACAAATGAACTACATATCCCACAGTGCAATTCGAGCAAGGCCCTTAAAACTGCCTTTTAGAATTATTTTTGTTTATTGTATATTGACGTTATTTTTCGCAAAAAGAATAAAAAATATCTGAAACATATTGTAGCTTCATGGGATATTAATTTGAGCCATAAATAAATGTTATTATGAACAGGCGGGGTCCTGATGCTTTAGCAGTCTTCGCTGAGGCTGAGCACAGTTTAACAGAAGTCAACTTTGGGTGAACGTCAAAAAATTTCACCGAAGCATTTGCTTCACCTCTGTGACTCTGTGTTTGGCCGCTGAAACACAACTTTAGCTTTTTTGTTTTTGGACTCTCAGGATCACAGGTTTGAGCATGGAGCCGGTCCGGATGGTTCTGTGTCTGCTGTCCGTGTTTATCTCGCTAGTCTCGGACAGGTTGGTGGTGTTGGCTTCCTTCTCCCAAGCTACGGACAGCGACTTCACCTTCAGTTTACCTGCTGGCCGAAAGGAATGTTTCTACCAAACCATGAAGAAAGAGGCTTCCCTGGAGATTGAATATCAGGTCATAAACAAATATTGGGCTGTCTGTTACCCACAAAAATGCTCTGCTAAGTTAAATTACTACGTATCAGTAGAACCAGTTGACTTTGTGGCTCACACCTTGATTTTTCATATTGTCAGGAACCAGTTTTGCCTGTCAGAGCACAAATTATTTCCCAAAATGAGTCTCTCTGTTTGACCCTGATGTGCACAAACATTTAGCAATCCCGTTTGACTGTCTGGGCCATGATGGACATTCCTAGCAGTTTCTTAACATTGTGGTGTGTAGCTTCAAGTATTAACTGAGGTTTTTTGTTTTCACTGTTGAATGAGGAAAAACTACAACTTCTCATATTTGGGTGACGTCTTACTACAGCATATTCATTGCCTTACAAATGTTTGAATGTTCATATAATTTTTCACAACTGCCCAAACATTAATGTGTTTTCTTGGGATTTTATGTGATAAACCATCACAAAGTACTACATAGTAATTCAGTTATTTGTGTTTTTCAAAACATTAATAATATTAAAAAATGATATCCAGCTCTGAATACTGGCAAGTTAACTATTTTGTCTCCTGGTAAGTTGTGTGTATGAGCCCTGTTGACATCTGATCCCTTTCCTTTTACCTTCGCCATCAACAGGTGTTAGACGGTGCCGGTCTCGACGTGGACTTCTCCATCTCTTCTCCTTCCGGCCAGTTGCTTTTCAGCGATCAGCGCAAGTCGGACGGCGTCCACACGTGAGCGACTCGAGCAGCACGTCCGTTGATTTGCTTTGCACGTCCACGGTGTCCTTACAGCTTGTTCTGTCCTTCAGCGTGGAAACTCATGAGGATGGGGACTACGTGTTTTGCTTTGACAACACGTTCAGCTCCATATCCGAGAAGCTCGTCTTCTTCGAGCTGATCCTGGACAACATGGATCAGGAGGAAGACCCAGACAACTGGAAGGAGCACATCATTGGTACAGATTCGCTGGACATGAAGCTGGAGGACATTATGGTGAGGCAGACCTTTTCACGCACCGTATAGTTTAACATGTTTCTAAACCGTCTGATCTCAGTGGCGTAATTAAAAATCTGACATGCATAGTCTTCCTTTATATTTCCACTTCAGCGTTTTAGACGTCGTCCCTCTATTGTCTTGACACAGTCCCATTAACGACCCAATAATTTCCCCACAAAGCAGCGTCCTAAGAGGTTCAGCATGTGTCACAAGAACGGAGAGAGTCATGAACACTCAGCTTGTTGTCAGTTTCGCCACAGTGACTAGCACTGCCTCCGTCTCCATAAATGGCTCGTATTTGTGTCAGAAGTCACAGAGCCGTGACGTGGTAAAGAGCAGGAGACGTATTTTCCAGATGTGGAGGAAGTTGCTTTCTTAAAAAGGAAGGAGCACACCTGACTGCACGGCTTGCTTAGGAACATGCTCCAGCTTTGCTTTGCAGATGCACTTGCAAACCCACAAAGTCTGACCCAGTATTTTTGGTCAAGTTTCTAGTGCATCTTAGGACAATTGAAATAAGACAAAACTAACTCGTGTGTACATTTTCTGCAAGATATAGGAACTTGTTTTAAGTGAATAAATTGTAAATATTTGATCTGCCAGTGGGAAAACAATTTTTAACTTATAATATGGCAAAAATGACTTGTTCCACTGGCAGATTATTTCATACCTAGTACTGTTTCATCAATGTTAAGGAATTATTGACTTAAAACAAGCTTCTGTTTCTTGCTCAAAAGTCACTTGTAAATTAGTTTTACCTTATTTCAAGTGTACTAAGATATTTGTACCAGAAACTAGAACAAAAATAACTTGGTAAGATTTTGTGTTTTGCAATATATAAGCAAAGTTGAACAGGTTTTTCATATGGATCACCTTATCTGCTGTGCTCCTTGGTTTCCTCAGCGCTGCTTGTTCATTAATGTCCTTCAACATTAATGAACAATTAATGTCGACGAACAGTAATTGTTCATGAATCCAGGTGGATTTATACTGAGATTAAAGTGCACACAACTTTACCGACTTTAATTATAAACTAACTAGGTGACATCTGAAAGCAAATGGTTCCTCTGGGTTTTATTTAGTGGCATCAGAGTGAAGGGAGCTAAATGTAAAAGCATATGACTCTCTTAAAGGATTTGTAGAAGTGGCCCTTGTTCGGTTTCTTTCATAAGTTTATAAATATATATTTTTTTCTTTTCTGTCTCCCAGGACACCATCAACAACGTGAAGTCTCGCCTGGGAAAAAGCGTGCAGATCCAGACGCTGCTGCGGGCGTTCGAGGCTCGCGACCGGAACCTCCAGGAGAGCAACTTCGACAGGGTGAACTTTTGGTCGGTGGTCAACCTCTTCGTGATGATGGTGGTGTCGGCCGTCCAGGTCTACTTAGTCCGCTCGTTGTTCGAGGACAAGAGGAAAATTCGCACATAACATCGCCTAGAACTGGATGGACAGAAATCATGAAACTAACACATGTTGACACGGTTACATTAGGGATGCTTTTTTTGTTGTTTTGTTTTTGTTTTCCTCAACACCATTATGTCTTTTAAATATTCAGGTTCAGAACTAATTCGCTACTGTTGTTGCTTCAAGTTTTCTGTCCACTGGAGTTTGAATCACAAGTGTCGACTAGCTATACCTCCACTCAACAACCTTTTTACAAGAAAACTGTTCTCTCTCTTTATAGCTTTATACTGTTTTAAGGTCCTTCTTAGCTGCTGTAGCAGTTTACACAACACGTAACAACAAGTTTACGATATGCAACTACTTTTCTAATAGAGCTAGAGCGTTACCAGGCCAGTGGCCAATTTGCAAATATTGTCTTGTTTTGTTTATTGTGTTTTTCCTGAGTGAAAGTAGTTGAAGTAGTCGCTTGCTGCTGGGATAACTTATTTTTGCCAAACAGGAAGAGGAGGAGCAACCAGTTAGGTAGCATGTCTTAACTGCACTAGGGCAAAAAAAAGAAATCTACCTGTCAGTTTTTAACTCATCTCTGAGGTCTGTGAAGTTGGCAGCAAGTACGAATGCTGTTGGAAATTAGCCATGCTTTGTTCCCACACAGCTGCTGAGCAGTCAGGTGTGTGGATAGGTGAGGTGGGGCTGCGCTGCTGACCCACCCTAGGGACTGTGGAGCGGAAGAGACTGGGTCCGCGGCGTCCCACTGTGAAGGCCCATGTCTGCTGGTGGGTGTCTGCTTACAGCCCACCTACTGTGTGAAGACGATGGGTCCGCTTGTCTCTCTAGTGACAGAGGGCTATTTCTGTCTGACTGACACCTGCAAGGTCAATGCCACACCCTTCGTCAGCGTTCTCTTCCATATACTTAAAAAAAACAAAAACTGTCATGATTATTGCACTGCCTTTGAAAAACATTTTAACAAATTGACTTTGGGCACTGGAACTTTGGAGGTGGGTTAGAGGAAGGTCCAGTAAAGAACCGAGGTCTTTACTGGACCTTCAGTAGGCGGTCTTGGATCGCCTACTGAAGGTCTTCATTCTTTTTTTTTTTTTTACCTTTTCTCTGTTAAAATTATGCTGATTGTTTGTTTTTTTTTCCCCCTAAATGTTTTCTTTGTACTTGACTTCACTGTTAAATGACTTATGCTATGAGAGTAAAGACACATCATGAGATCAGGCCTTTACTTCAGAGCCTTATGTTTAAAGTGCATAAAACCAAACATTTACTAGCTGTGTTAATATTATGCAAATTAGTTATGTAATTTGTTCCTCTTTTGTTTTGTCTTTAATTTGTTTTTCATATATGAAGCATTCATCTGCTCAGCTTTCATCACTGTGTGTTAAGATTCTGGTATTCTTATAAGATCGATTTAAAATGCTTTTGCAATCCTGGTAGATTAAAACATTTCTAATAGTATTTCTACATTACTGAGAAGGAATAAAGTACTCTGTTGCTCTTTTAAAACATATATTTTCTACTATTTTGATGAAGCAGTGGAGGCAGGTTGAGGGAACATGACATTTATTCCACCGATGTCCTGCACTTGTAGATGTGTATAAATTAAACAAGTCTATCTTTTCTCATCTGTGTCTCTCCTTGTGTGTCTACACAGGCAGGCAGGAGTTTTTCTTTTTTAAAGGGACCTTTGGTAAAAAAATAAAATAAAATACCACAATTTTGAAGATTTGTTGTTGACAAGCAATGCTAATCCACCTCATTTGCTTTTTGCCACTCCCCTTTAAATTCATGTCTGCTGAATGATGAAAACCCCTCAGAGAACTTCCTCCTTCTCTCTCTCTATGGGTTCTGCTCTCCATACATGAAGCCTCGTAGGTCAGGTGTTATTTGAGCTTTAAAGATCCTCATCAGCTGCTTCCAGTTGTGACAAGAGTACAACTGGAACCTTTATTTGTCCCTGGGAAAAATAAAGGTCAGAGCAAAAATCCAGCAGCATATGCAGACAGAATAATTGTCTAAACATGCAGTGCTTCAGTCAAACAAATTATGAACCAAGTCTAGGAAAATAATAAATCAGAACTAACTTGAGAGAGCTCCTTCAACATGTTGCCACCATGAGCGTCACAATTCAAGAACAGAATAATTACGGTGTAAAAATTAGTTGGGCTGTCTGCTCCGTACAGCCTGCAGTGAACTGCTTAACAGAAAAGCTGTTTCTAAAAAAGAAGCCATAGGTGGTTACTTAGTTTTCACTCCATGACTGTTTGTTTTTTTTGTTTTTTTTGTTTTTTTGCAATTGTTAATATTTCCAAACAACAAAATTTGTCTTTTTTGTGAGCATGACAACAGTGTCCTATAGCTTCTTTCGGCCTGCTGGGTGGCAGAGTGCAGCAGCAAAAGCTACAGGTGCAATGCAGTATTACTCTATACTTTAGCACTGTCTCTGCTATCTCATGAAAATACACTTTAAACCTGAGGCCAGAGGTTTTGAAAATGCTGGACTGCTAAAGAGATTCTGTGTCAGTCAGTAGTTCAGATGTCACTGCAGAACAGAATAAAGTATTTCTGGTTTACTGGTAGAGAGAAAACCTTTAATGGATATCTGCTTTTTTGTTTGAGTGAGGCTGGAGAGACGAGATGATCAGACACTTCTTCAGTGCAGGCGAAGACGGCCTTCCTGCACAGCGAATCCTTGGAGAGTTGAAAAACAATATTTGGGATTCTTGTCAGAAATGTTTGAAATGTTTTTCATTTTGACCCATGATGCTTAACCTTCTATTAGGTACCATGAGGATGAAGGAGTTCTGGAAACGCTGCTGAAGTTTGACACCGTCTGAAAGAAATATATGTCATATGAAATAGAAATGTAAACCAGTAAATGTCTGGAGTATTTTTTTTTTCTAAAATGAAACTCTAAGGACCTTCAATTGTTCTCAATCTGGCATACAATCACCACTGGTTCTCTCTTATTGGTAGATTTGTTTTTACTGTCTATTTCAGGTAAATGTGATCTAATTAATTAAGAGCTTAGAAGAGCTAACAGCAAAAAAAAAACAAAAAAGAAAAAAGAAGAAGAATTGGTCAAGGACATTGATCTCAGCGTTATCAAAAACTGCTCAAGGAAAAAGTGCAGTGGATAAATATTTGGTGAATCATACCGAAAACAGAGGTAGATGACTTTGAGTCATTTCTCTCCTTACAGATTTTTTTCTCCCCCAAAATCTCAGTAAATGCAAAGAGCAGATTTAACTGGTTTCAGTAAGACGAAATAAAACTACTCAAAGCAACTTCCCTCTTCGTGATAAAGTGTCTCTTAAGCCTTAATTGGTGTTACTAAGTATCATCAAGCATTTAGAATTACTAGCAATTAATCAGATTCACTCTTTGTATCATTATCCTAATTAAGATGCATTGGAGAAGTTTCAAGCATTATTAGCCTTTAAAATGTTTAAGTGATTTCTATCGATTGGGTTGGGATTTTGGAAGAACTTACCATTGTTCTGGATGTTTGCAGTTCCTCAAATCGTCTGCTGACTTTGATAGACCTCTTTTCTGGCTGTAGTTTATTTTCTGAGAAGCTGTAAAAAACACAAGAATGTGTAAAAGTGGGACACAAGCCCTCTTAACTGTAAGACTTGTAAGCTGAAAAATATCAGGATACTCTGATGAGTTGATCTGTTGATTCCGTCTTAAAAGTTCAGAGGAGAATGGGCCACGTATGTTCACCACAGACATCTTGTTAAAAAAACAAAACAGATAAAGTTAATGGGAAAATGGCTGGCAGATATTCAGAATTAGAAATGCAATTTTATTTACATATTTATGAACAAATACAAGAAAAATCTAACAGTATTTACATAAATGTGCCAATAATTTTGAAATGAAATTAACTACATTTGTAAAATGTGAATTTAAACTTGACTGCCATGTACTGTATATACTATATAATATATAAATGTTCTATATTTCTTGTGCTACACTGGACCGAAATAATTGAAAATACAATCGAATAAAGATTCTCACATTTCAATAAAGATTTATGTAATTCAAATTATTGAAACATTCAGACAGTTATCAATGTTAATTTCTGATAATCTGTTATTTAGTTAGTGTATGATTTTTCAATTTTCAATCACGCATAGTTATTAATTTAGCGACTAATTTATCCATCATTTAAATTGTGAAACTTCTGGA